GCATATCAATATAAGCTGTACGTCCGAAAATTTTTTGAATGCCAAATCAATACGGCGCAGGAGTGACAATATGGCTACATACATTGAATGTCTGAATTAACACGAGAGAAAATCAGAATTAACATTTAAAATACATTTTATTTAGAGCTGTTGTTTTAAATCGGTCCCAACAATTTCAAAAATCACCAATTCTAGAAAAGTCAAATTGCTTAATTATAATAAGTAACCCTTTAAATATTACTATAATGATTTGTGAAATAAAAATTATCTCCGAATTAGCACTCTTCCTGTGACCGCTTCACATTCAGTCCTGGGATGGTCCCAAACCCATCCCAAATTCTACATTTAAAAGATTCCGATTTCTCAAGAAGTTTTATTATATACTAATTTTCAATAGGTAACCTAAGCCATTATTATAAGCAAATTTAATTAGCAACTTGTAAGAAAACATTTAGCTCTAAAACTAGTAATTTTGTGGGACTGCTTAGACCATTTTCTTGTCAACCATGAATTAACGCACAATAAATCAATCACTTATAAAAACATTTACAAGTAATATAATGAAGTTATACTGTATGTCTGAGCTTGTTTATCAATTTGCAAGCTAAAAAAGTAAAATAAGCGTAGTAGTATTATATGAATGATGTGTTGTCATAAGAGTATTTATGGGAGAACCCATAGTATTCTCATCGAGTTGTTTTTGAAAAAAATCGTTAATCAACAATGTGATGTCGTAACTTTAAATTTTATTTTGCCGCAACAATGTCTACGAGTGAGTCTAAAGAAAAAGTGATGCATATCATAGAGATTAAAAATGTGGCCGAGATTATCATAATTGTGTTTATTATCACATCAACTTCAAACCTTTGCCAAGCTCAAACAAGAACTAAATAAGTGCTAACGCTAGTACCTGATTTATCCCTGATAATTAGATTCGCCTTGATGATATTCCTGATAATTAGAAGAGTTCGTCTTGATGATATCCTTGCTGATTAAAAACGCCTTGTGATCCTTCAAATAAGACACACCATAGAATTGTAATCGCAATCTCTTCACACTCATTCAAAAATTCAATATATTCATTTTTGATTGGCTCTACTTTTATCTCGATAGTTGGATAAAATTTTTGTAATATCTGATAACTTGCTTTGAAAATTGGTGTTTTTCGTGTAGTAGGATATTCGACGTTGAGTGAAACAACAATAGATGGAGAAAGAAATCTGTCAAGATTTATTCGGCAAGACTATTGGGGTAGAGGACATCATCAATATTATTGTTGCTAAATTATCTGACTATTATAAAAAATCACATGGTTCTGCATATTTAATTATAAAGTCATCAGACTAACGAATGATAAAAAAATACCGATACCTACCCTTAGAATTGTAGATCCAGTTTTAATTTCTTTATCACGAGTTGTTGAATCAAAGTAACCGATTTCACTTGGGCAGCCAATTAGCATCCATTCAAGCTTATATGTTGGCAAGCTTATAAAATAAAAA